AAATTTTTTGGTCGCTACCCGGAATCGAACCCGGGACCTTTGAGTGAGAGGCCAACACCTTAACCTCTAGGCCATGAGAGCCCCCTAACGCTCAGTACTTTGCAAGCGTGGCATCGAATCCCGGTCCCGGAAACTTTTGGTGCTTTTTTTTTCCTTTCCTTCTCCTTACTGACCAACAATTTGCCCCCGGACCCCCAACCAGGACGAATAATAATTGGCAGGAGGAACAATTGGCAGGGGTCTGGTGGCCGCAGGAGGGCCCTGGATAAAGAAAATGTGTAATTGAAGAGCTAAGATTTGGCTTCTCTGTTTCTAAATTAAATTTTAAAAATTAGACTCACACACCAAGGAAAGCCACTGTTGAAAATGTACTTTAACCAGGCATAAATTGGTAAAAGGACAAGTAGGCCTATACTTAGTAGATAAAATCTCCTCTTGGGGACAAAACCAGAATGTGCATGCTTCACCACTACATAAGAAATTACAAAGCAACAAATTATAATTATGGGGGAAATTGTTATTCAGTCAGGAGGAGGAGAAGAAGAAGAAAAACCACCACAAAAAAAACTTCCTGGACCGGGATTCGAACCAACACTCATAAAATAATTGTATCCCTTCAAGCGCAGTCACGCTGACCATTTGGCTATAAAAACATTCAACGACCACAGGTAGATAAGCTTAATATAATATACAGCACTGTTTCAGGAAAGGCAACAACATAGATCAAGATGTAGACATCTAGTTTTCTACTTATACAACAAAGAAAGAGAGAAAGTCGGAAACATGGGGATTTGGGGGGGGGGGGGGATATCAATGAGGCGGCGGGCATCGGCTCTGCGTAGATGCGCCTCGAAAAAACAAGTAGGGGGGAATTTTAAAAATTACCGGGGCCAAATAGTGAACCCAGTAAGTTCTGAGAGAGAGAGAGAGAGAGAGAGAGAGAGAGAGAGAGAGAGAGAGAGGGGAGAGAGAGAGAGAGAGAGAGAGAGAGAGAGAGAGCGAGAGAGAGAGAGGGGGGGCAAGGGACAGACAGACAGACAGACAAACAGACAGACAGACAAACAGACAGGCAGGCAGAGCAGGCGTTAATCCTCAGAATCACAGAGTGAAAGAAAAAAGAGAAAGGGAGATGGGTGCAAAGTGGAGTGGTGCTGGGTGATGTGTCGAGTGTTGCTTTTATATCCAAACCATAGCGAACTAGAGTCCTCCAGTTCGCTATGGTCCAACCCAAACCCTTTTTAGTTTTCATAATAATAGCATGTACATGGATTTTCAGGGGGCAGGAAGAAAATAATTATGAATGAGTTGACCGGCGCAGTCGTGTCTGTCAAGAAGGACTTGCCCATGAACACATTTCAGCGTACAAGATCAGATACTGACGATCTTTAAAAACGCACCATTTTGGATTGAGCACATTTTGCACGAAAATGTCTCCAGTCACATCAATTGAGGTTGATAAAAGTTCACGATTCACATGCAACAGAGGCTACTGATCACGTAAAATTGGAAGTTCCCAGTTCAATACTGTCAAAGCGCACGTGCAAAATGCAAAATTCGATGTGTCAACCTCAAACCTAAACTTTGTTTAGAAAGACAGATTTTTTGGCTGTTAGGGAGAGATAATATTCGCTCATACCAAAAACTGACATCCTTTACTCTGTGCGACGGATTTTTTCTGCGTAAATTAATAATGACACGACTTTCCATGCAAGAACGTGAAAGGGTCATTGGAATGCTCCAAGCCGGAATGGCAGCACAGCACGTTGCCAGGCGCATGAACTGTAGCCACTCGACTGTTATCCGGTTGTTTCAACGAAATGCAGCTACTGGATCTACAGTAGATCGCGACGGAGAGGCCAACCACAATTTACAACACCAGCGCACAACTGTTACAACATTCGCTGACGTCAATTCGTGACCGTTTCCTGCAAGCACCGGAAACAGGTCGTCAAATGGTTGGTCGGCGTGGACCAGTATCTGAATGGCAAACAACTTTGATGTCCTGCCTTGGCCATCACTGTCTCCTGACATGGCACCAATTAAGCATATGTGGGACGAGCTTGGCCGCCGTTTGTCCCGTGGAAGACCTCTACACAATCTCCAAGAGCTGAGGCGTTCTTTGACAAATCAGTGGGTACAGATTCCACAGGTGTTCTTTCAGACTCTTGTCAATTCCATGAGAAGACGCTGCCAATCCCGTATTTAGGCCAATGGAGGGCATACACGATGCTAAGGCAAGTGTTAAAAACTCAATTTACCGCTCTGATTTTTTTTAATGGACTTTTGTTACTTCGTGCTTTTCTGCTCGCGATGCCATTTGACCTTTTCATTTCATGCGAATATTAACACAATTACCATAGAATGCAATGGTATATAACCTGTTAAAAAAATAAACACATCACCATTATTTGAATTGTTTTGTAAGTTTTTCGTTTTAAATGACCGTCAGTATAACATATTATTGTTACCTAAAATGATAAAACGATTGTTTACGCCCCGTGCACCGAGTATGCAAGCAGTAGATCTAGTGGTGACCTACTCTTGGGTCGCTGTTTGTTTCTTTACTTCTTTGTTTGTTAGCTTAGGCTATGTCTATGTTCCTGAAATTTCATTTCAACTTAGCGCGAACGCAGTCCCCCTTTGAAAAAATTACGCACTCGAGTCCCCCGCATTTGAGGTGTTCGCAGGGGTCAGTCAAACCGGAGTGCAATGGAAAGGCTTCGCTCTGTGAGGACCGCGTTTCTCAAGATTCATTGTTTTGGTTTTTTGGGGGTTTTTTTTTTTTAGATTAAAAAATAGAAAACTTTAGATATTTAAAGACCATTTCAAAAATCTATTCTTGTGCAATTCTACCACATGAACCATGTATATAATTACTGTCACAGATTTATTCCACAGCCAAACTAGCGGCTCTTCCCAGTCCGTTTTTGAAAACAAAATCCTTACCAACCCACCCACCCACACCTTCTGGCACGCACATACTGCATTGTAGGTCCTTTCGTCTCTCACTTTCGTTTCGTGCACTTGACAGTGATAACTGACAGGCTGTCCATCTTAAAAATAAAAGAGCTTTTTTCTTTTTTTAGGGGATGAAAGGGGGGGGGGGTATAATGCTTTGATTTATTCCAAATTTTGACTCTTAAAGGATATCAAGTTGTCTTTATTAGGTTTAAAAAAAGTCTGTATCCAACCATTAATAAGCAATATCATTATATTTTGTCATTGTCTTTGTAAATAAACGTGAAACTCTAGCCTGATGACGTATTCGCTGCGTCGGTATTCTAGAT